GCCGTGCAGAGCTTGAGCAGTAGCCTCTTAGGCAGCAGGAACAGCATGTGCAAAAGCTCAGAGGTAATAAAGCACCTTTCTAGTTCAAGGAACAGAAAGTGTGGCCAGGGTAGAGGGCAGGAGAGGAGAAATAGAGGAAATTAAAGAGTTAGGCAGGGGTCCCTCATGCAGGGCCCCGGTGGCCACATTGGGGCTTGTGGCTTTTATTCTAAGAGCACTAGGCAGGCCGTGTTTGGTGGCTCATGCCTATAATCCCAACACTTTGGGAGGCCGAGGCAGGAGGATCTCTTGAAGCCAGGAGTTCAAGACCAGCCTGAGTAAGAGTGAGACCCTATCTCTACAAAACATAGAAAAATTAGCCAGGCATGATGGTGTGTGCCTATAGTCCCAACTACCTGGGAGGCTGAGGCAGAAGGATCTCTTGAGCTGAAGAGTATGAGATTACAGTGAGCTATCATGACACCACTGCACTCTAGCTTAGGCAACAGAGTAAGACCGTCAGACAAGGGTGTGCTTTAGTTTTTTTGTTATGTAGTTGGGACAGAGTATCACTCAGTGTCCCTGAGTAGAGTGCACTGATGTGATTACAGCTCACTGCAAGCTTCAACTCCTAGGCTGTGAGCGATCCTTCTGCCTTAGCCTCCCAGGTAGCTGGCACTATAGGTACACCTATCACATGAGGTCAGGTGTGGAATTTTCTGTTTGTGGCATCATGTTGGTACTCAAAAATTTTTAGATTTTGGACAGTCTCAGATTTTGGATTTTCAGATAAGGGAGTCTTAGCATGTATCTTGATCAAGATTGGCTAACTGCTGTAACAAACAACCCCCCAATTCTAGGGGCCAATACAGTGAAAGTTCCTGGTTGGGCAGCTTTCTGCCAAGGGTAACTCACAGATTCAGCCTCTTGCTATTTTGTAGCTCTGACTTACTGGTCTGGGGAGTACTCTCCCCTCAGAAAGAGAAGAGAGCATCTATCTTAGGAGGCTCTTAGGGACCAGGCCTGGAAGTGGCACCACTTCACTTCTGCTTACATTTCATAGGTCAGCACTCAGTCACATGACCACACCTAACCTCAAGGAGCCTGGGAAATGTAGTCTAGCAGGATAACCAGGAGGGGGCAGCAACACTAGCCATTTCTGCCAAACTGCCAAAAAGAAGAGTGATGGTGTGGTTTCAGGAACTGCGGTGCATCATGAAAATGTGAATGGAGATAAAGCCACAGTGTCAACATCTAAAACAAATATTTTCACTTTTTCGGTGATGTATAAAATTTAGAGAAAATCATTGTCATAAGAACAATGGCAGGAACCTCAATGGTATTTAGGGTATGCATTTTCTCTACTTTTCAGTTTGGCTTTTCAATTCACTGGAAGAGATGTGAGGGTTTGAAATAGTTTTGGTTCCATGTTCCAAAACACATGGCGTGCACACTTGATTTTAGTAAACAGGGTCCAAAGAGATGTTGTTGCTAGGTGTTTTTGTTTTCACTATAAACAAATCACTAGCCAAAAAATTAATTGTATTCCCCACTGTGCTCTTCACTGCTTGTAATAAGAAGAAACCCATTGGAGTAATTGCAGGTTGCAAAATAAGTGCTGTGCTTGTTACTCAAAGCATCACCCACAGACCTGCAATATTGACATCACCCGGGAGGTTTTTGCTTGTTTGTTTTTAAGAAATGCAGACTCTCAGGCCTACCTCGGATCTGCTGAAATAGAATCTGCATTTTAACAAGATTCTCAGGTGATTTGTGTGTATAATAAATTTGACAAGTACTGATGTAGATATTAGAGTGTGATCCATAGTGTTTGACTTGCTAGTTTCTGTCTTCCTTTATTTAATCTTTGGAGATTGGTGAATGGGGTGTGTTGTAAAGTCAGAAGTCAGAAAACATACCATTATTTATGTGCTCTTCATGGAGGGTGGATAGAGAGAGGAAAGTTAAGTTAGGGGAGGGTACTTCAAAAGTAGTCAGCTCTCAGCTAATTCTGATTTTCCGGCTTTGGCCTCCTTCAGGTTATTTTATCTTTCTGCCATCTTTATGATCTTTGTGAATACTTAGCCTCGGGACTCACATAATACACAGCATAGGCAGACTTAAATTTTTACACATAAGAACTTTAAGAAAATGCGATATAAACTTTACATGTCAGCAAGGCGCATCTTTCCCAGAATGCTAGAAAAATTGAGGATCCCTATTTATCCATCACCTTGCAATATATTTCCGACATTTTTAAGTGTGATTTAATTTTGTCCCTTTACTTTACAAATGAACACGGAGAGTCTCACCAGGATGGAGTGCACCTGGCTTCTTGTCCTGATGCTCAGAGAGGCTGCTGCTCACTTGGCCTGCCTAGCGTGGCCCACGAGCCTCAGCCTCCCCTTATGCCTTGCCCCTGCTCGCCTAAGCCTGGTATCATGCTGCTGCATTCTGCCCTGCTTTATGTCACTCCTTATTTTTATTTTATTGTGCTCTTACTGAAATGATTTGTTTGAGCTTGCCAGGGGCAGGCATGTATGTGAATTCGTGCTTCTCTGTGTGAGGTAAGGTGGTGTAGGCTGGGACCCTCTATCAGACTGCCTGCCTGGTCTAGTCTTCCTAGCTGTCTGGTCTCAGGAAGTCCGATATCTCCCTGTGCCTCAGTTTCCTCATCTGTGAAAAAGTGTCAGACATAATTATGAGAGCTTCATCCACAGGGACACCCTTGGTCCTCACAACAGTCCTGGGGGTGGATACTCCATAGGGCCCCTTCATGGTCTGCGGCTGTCCTGTGGATGGGCCATTGGAAGGAAAGGAAATGCAGGAAGGCATGCTTCAAGTAACTTGAAAAGATTTAAACTTTTTTTTTAAATGAGGTGATACTTCAGTTGCTAATGATTTGTTATTAGCATAAAATAGAAGGGACATAT